CGTCCGATTCTCTAGATCTATGGTATATAACAGAGAACAATTATCTCATTAGTATGAGATCTTTTTTTGTGAAACTAAAAGCAAGGCGACTATATTCAAAACAGGTAATATCATATCATTGTGGAGTTATTCGAGATACTTAGGGTACCATAGCCATGGTCTAAATCTAACTGTGTCGATAAAACCTTTGGGTGACAAATAAAAAAGTGTTGAGCTTTGGAAGATATAATCATGGTGTAATCTGTTGGTGTGCTCTATAAAAGTGTGGTGGAAGTCTTGGATAAGAGCAAACTCTCGTTCTGGTCCGAGAATAGACGAATGAGTGACTATTTGAAGGGAGGCTCCCGAAGTATTTAGAGTGAAACTAAAAATAAAGTCGTAAAGACTATGTCTAAAATGCATAATATTATACTATCATAGAGATATTTGGAATACCGTGGTCTCTAACATCTCCAACGACGAAGACGTGGCAAGAACCGAGAGGGAGATGGGGCAGACAACTAGTTATACGTCATGGTTTGAAGCTGTATAGGAAGGTGGTGCAATGCAATGAGGTGAAATTTCTCACTGATAACGTTTGGAACGCTGTTCGAGGCAGATCAGGATCAGGTTCTAAAGCTACGGTCCTCTGATTTATGTAGAAGTATTGCCAACTAACTCTTTAAAAAAGGGGCAAAAAGATAAACGAAATTCTTTGTAAAATATTGGACTTTTGGGGGCTAGAATGAATGCCTAGTGGAAATTCACTTGCACTTGCTGCTGCCGCTGCCATGAAGTAGAAGTAGTAGTAAACGGCAATCTGAGTAGGAATATGGAAACGTTGGCAGGTCGTTTTTCCTTAACATTTGAGAGGGTAAAAATGTTGGTAAACGTAAATCATCATAAGCCGACACGTACCAGAAACAAATATGGTGGGTACCATTTTCAGCTCATAATGGAAACGATGGAGACACCAAGGCTTGCAACAACTTCCATTTGCTTGTCGTTTTTAATTTCTCAATTTCCAATATTATTCTCATAAAAACATAAATTTTTGAAAAATGTTACCAAGTTCAAGGTCTTTGTTTGGTGGGCAGACCAAAGCTAGGTAAAGGAAATAAATTATAATATCATTTTATAAAGGCAAGCGGAGCAATGTGAATAAAGAGTTATGTTCTCAGCAGAAGAGGTTCGTTTAGATAAAAAGATCCCAAATTGTAGAGAGAGAGAGAGAGAGAGAGAGAACCTTGTTTTTGAGCTTTTCCTTTCGCTGCATGCTTACACCACCTTATCTTTTCTTCCCCACTCACCACATTAATAGTTCCTGTTTATGTGATATATTAAAATAATAAGAAAAACCCACAAATTTATAACCAAATCAGAGATATCAGGAGCATCTCCATGTCTATGCCACTTGATTTGTTTGGGCACCTCACTTCTTCAAATGGCACACGGCAGCCTCCACAAGCTGCGCTTTTCTCGGCTGTTGGCTCATTTCTGTTCCTTTTCTCTACGCCGGAGTGGGAAAATATTTGGCTGTTTTTTGGAGCTCGCAAATGATGTAAAATGGTTGCCCCAAAATCAACACCTCTAGTACATCCAAGCAGTATCAAACACCACATGACCAAACAAAATTCTTATAAATTCAGGGTACCCGCAATGTACCACCATGTACACATCTAATCCCACAAAAAAGGCTCTGCAAATTAAATCGATCAACAATGGCCTCCTAATTCTGTCGAATACTGTTTGTTGATACTGTTCTGACTTTGGTGACAGGGTACGTACATATAACTTTACAATTTCTACCACACGAGATGAGACAAAACAAAATTCCAAAAATAAAATAGAATAGCAGATGGAGAAACTTAAAGCTTGCCGTGTATTTTGCTGCACTGACACTACCCTGATCGTGCGAAATAATAGCAATGCTCACGTGGAATTGCCATCAATATTTAACGTTTGATCGACATCCAGAAGCTCGTTTACACAAAATTGATGTAAATTGTCGTACATTTTTCTCCAGTGCTTAGCATTTTCATGGATTTTCCATAATCGCGCTTTAGTCTTTCCAACTCCACTCCTGTGGCAGCAGAACCCTGTTGCTGAAGTAGAGAAACCACATGTTAATAGAAGTTTTAGAGATGTGTAGAAGAACATATGTTATCACAAAATGTTATGTATGCCAGAACAATAAGGAATACAGCATATTATTAACATTATTGAGTAGTTAGCGAGAATTTGGTTCTCCATCAAGTGACAAGTAGGTGTGCGAGGGTAAGTATTAATATTCATGCATTCCATCTCAAAACCAATTAACAATGAGGGGAGTAACCCATGTCTATCATAAATTTATGTAAGATCTCTTCTTTATCAATATAGGATCCTTAACCGGAAGAATCCATAAATTCTTCTGATAGACCAATGATAACGCTGGTGTCTTCATCCTCGTCCTTCAAATTTTCAAAATTTGCAAAGGCGGGAGATAATAGTGAGCGATGCTTTCTCAAGGATCCTTGAGATGTATAATAATTTATCTGCGATTTAGGGAGAAGCTGTTCTCTAACGATAAGTATATTATTTACAAGGCCTGCACAACAGTATGGATCACCGGTGCATTTGCATTCAGATAATGAAATAAAAATTCAAGTCATGGACATAGTAATCAAAAGCTGAATACAGTAGCTAGGAAACGTTTATCATGCAGTGTCAGCAACAGCTCTTTTTTAGCACACGTAAGGAGTTCTCAACTTGCTAATCATTGAACAAGAGAAAGGCTTTATACTCGCAGTAGTTTCAAAACAAATGCTAATCAAATAGGATCTCTTTAACTGTCTCAGGAATTTTCGGAGGGAACAGTGACACTGTTGAGTATAGAAAAAAATTCTCAAATTTTTCTTCAATGACCATCAATGTCAAGCCCACAAATTTTAGTAGCTCAACACGTCTAGTTATCATTTAGATCATAATAAAGCACACTTACACCATTTGTTTTTAAATTTGTGTTTGCACTTGGAGTAATTGTGTTTGTAGATGTTTCATATGTCCCACATTGCTATTAAAAATATTAAAATCTACGGATCAGGGCAATTCACCAAAGGCAAAGTTTATGGACTTAACTAGCACATGGAAATAAATTAAAATCCAGCTGAGAGATTCCAAAACTGATTAATTCGATATTCTAAGATCCATAAAGAAACCCACATATACGAGATGGTAGGAACACCCTCCTCAAAACTATGGTTTCACACAGCCAAATCATCATAAAATTATTTATATTATTATCAACATAGAAATCCTTTAGAGTGACAAACCTTACAAGTCTGATCCACGGAGGAAAAGATTATAATAGCATTGGATCCTCCTCCAAAACCTACAACAACAATATCAGTAATAGGCAGATTGTGCTGGGTGAAACTATGTTCATATAAATGTTTTGCTTCCCTTTGCCAGCCGTCATCAAATACCCTGTTATACACATGGTCGTAAGAATAATTTCAATTAGTGACAATAAACTCTAAACAAATACACATGACGGAAGGATGAAATTTTTACGTTATAAGAGGCCAAATTCTAACACAGCCATCTTCAGAACCGGAAATTAAAAGGGAGTCATCTTCAGAGAATACCAGGCAAGTAACTGCCCTATAATGAGCATGCCATTTCTTAATTAGCAGTCTACCCGCTCAAAACCTGCAGCAATGAGCATGCTAGATAATAACACATACAAGACCATGTGAAGGGGTAGCACAAGACTTGTACTCGATGGAGGACGAAGCAACCACTAGCACCATTCTCAATTACAATACACACGTCCTGTTTTCGAACGATGGAATTAGGGAATTAGGTCAATGTTTAATTGTTGCTAAGCCCAACGGAGAAAAGTCATAGTGGGCCTGGCAAGGCTTAGCACGCATTTGGGCTCATAGCCCAATCGTACCCATATCTGCGGCCCGTGTTGGGCTGGATGACGGATGTCAACTTAATTTAGTAAAAAGGTATTTATAATATGTAAAAAGGAAAAGTATTTACAAAGTAATTAGGAAGGAAAACGAAGATATGATTGGCGAGTGGAGTTCACGTTTCGTATCCTTTTCGACCCCAAATTGTAGAGTAGACCTCAATGGTAAGAGAAATCGCAAAAAAGGCTAAAAATAACAAATCAGTATCTTCTTTGATACCATACCACTCAATTAATCCAACCCTATACATATAAAGGAAAACAATATTAAATGTCAATAAAGTTGATTCAAACAAAGCAGACATACATCTCTTTACTAAAAGAAAATTTGATTTAAAAAGGGCCAAGAAAAGAGATTCATTTCATCTTTTCCTTTTTTTTTTGCTTTAGAGCTTCCAAGAATCATCCCTCCCGTCCCGTCCCCGTGGCCATGGGGGAGTGGGTTGAATACGGCTGTTTCGCAAAACCAAAAATCAAATCTACAAAACCAACTCAGTTCTTTAAAGCATCTTTAATGGATGGAGGTTCCACAACTGCGTCGTTTTAGGCTCCACGTGCGAGGCCCCAACTGAGAAAAGACAACGCTTGGAGAACCAACCGTAGACAAAGGTATCATACCATACGAGGGTTTTGTGTTGTGTCTTTTTTTATTATAATACAACTGTGCTTTGCTTTTGAATTTATGTATGAGAGAGGAAATCATTGCACGACAAAGATTTCCTAAGCCCTACAATATTCCAAACTTTTATCACCCTTTCAACTACACCACTGTATCTGTTACGGTATGTAAATAAAAAT